GTGTTCCATTAAAGAAATTACATTTTATGCTGCCCATTTGGTGGCTTTTTTTTGTTCTGGTTTATAACTTGTGGCATTTTCGGATGTTTGGTGAGAATTTCACTCATTCACCACTTACCCAAAATTCTGGCCCAGACAAAGCCAGGTCAAAACAAGGATCCCTTCTTAGATTATGGATCTATTGCAAAGGACAGAGGTGCTAACTCTTGGTGCAATACAATTCCCACCACTGAAACTCTGATTGCTTCACTCAGAGTTCCCCTGATGTTGCTTGAACTGTGGCCAGCAATCAACTTCGGTCAATTGAGGAAGACATGCTTTGACAGCATTGATTTTCACTGTGATTAGTTTGGGAACTTAATGCGCTCTTAATGAGAGAAAAGTTTTATGAGAGAGGCTGGGGGTGGGTGGGGGCGGAGGGGGAATTAGGAAGGGCGGAGGCTCATGTGGAGTACAGCATGGACGAGTTGGGCCTCTTTCAATGCTGCAAATTCTATGTCATTCCATCAAATAAACACAAACTGTATATGGAACGTTTACAAGAGCTTGTGCCAGAAGTTATTTAAAAAAACACTGTTGATGCATTTTCCTTTGTTTTACTCATTCCTCCTGGATATGATTCCCTTTATCGTCTCATCGTCGATGATCAGGGAACTTACCTGAGCGACCCATCATCTATCGAAGTGTTAACAACAAGTCAGAAGGGGATGCTAATGGGAGATAACTTGAGGGTTTGGGATTGTGCTCCCTTAAGGGGTTCCGCAGGATTGAAATGCGGCCCAATGCCTTTTGCACCTGGTTTGAATTTCAGCAGCGATGATATCCTAGCCGTTTTCTTTTTTAAAAAGTTCCCTTAAATCATAAGGATTATTTCCTGTTCACTGGGCCTCGAGGTTGGTTTGCTTGCCAATTAATCCTGAGGAGATTAAACAAGACGGTTTCTGTGAAGAAGGTGGGTGGGGGGTTGAGTGGGGATTGGAGAGAGAGAGAGAGAATAACAAACTCCAGCTTTAAGGTTTACTGTGCTTTTTTTTTTCCTGCTCTCAGTTTCAATCACAGTCTTTAAGAAATATTCCCAAAGTCAGGCTACAGTGAAGGCGCAATACTCTTCCCCCATTGATTTGGAATTCATTCAGCTTCACAATACTCAACGTCAACGAATGAATGGTGTTCCTACAAGCATCCAGCAGGTGTCAGCCATCAATGCTTTCTGGTGACTAACTCGGTTGTATATTTCTCACTCGCTCCTGTGAATAAAACTCGAGGGCAACACAATTGTGCACAACTCCAGCCTGGAATCCCTCCCACTCGCTCCCTCACCTCGAAGAAAGTGAGAGGCGCAATACAAATGTCATTTGTTGCGTCTTGTTGTTGTCCATTTAAAGACCTACTTCTTTAACTGAGTTTTTTGTCATATTTGTCCTCAATCACCCTAACCTTAAAGCAACCCACCCTAACTCCCCCCTTTTGCTCCCGCCAAGCCAAGCCAGGATTGGTAAGCACCTTTGGATATCCTGCTGTGAAAGGGGCTATATAAATATACATTTTTATTGTATTGCAATTGTTACCTGAGTAAATGAGTACCATGCACTGAAACAGCCAGTTTCAGGATTTTGGCTAAAGCGGTCAGGTATTCGGGAAAACAATTTAAATCCTGTTAATTTTTTCTAGGGATTTTCAGTACGGTGACAGACAGTAAAAAATAACAGTCCCCTTTGAAACTGCAGCGAAGGATTAGAAAACAACACAATTCAATTATTAACAATAATGATACTTGTATTTGATATAGCACTGTGTCATGTCGTCAAGATGTCTCAAAGCACTTTATAGGATATACTATCGGTCTGTGTGTATTTTGTGGGTGAATTACACACACAGCCCCGCTCACACTATTTCACAATCTAAATCAATCCAACTGGCTTATACAAGGATTTTTATAGTCGTATCACTCAAAATACTACCAATGTGTAGGAACTCCACTCTGGAAGCACATTGTGTGGAAACAGAATTCTGTTAGGTCATCTCGGCTATTAATACTGACCAGAAAACTCAACGTGTAAAGATTTTTAGTTTTTCCAAACATGAACCAATACATGAATTTTAGTTCCACTGTTTGGTTCCAGTTCTTAAATCCTAATAAAGGATAAAATTGAAGCGGTGCATGCTTCAGTTGTACCAGACAAACAGATTATTCCTACTGTAAGGGTATATTATCCAACTTGTAAACATTCTGAATAGGCACTATTGAAATGTAATTTTGTTGTGTTGTTTTGTTGTTGTTGAATACACTTAGTGTCCAGCTTTAGTAACAGGACAACATTTTAACGTTGAGCAGAATCCAGTCACACTGAACAGAAGCATCTGTAAAGAATAGTTTTGTCTCAATTAAAATTCATTAAAGAAAATTGTAATAAATCAGCAAACAATGACTCAGTTATTTTTCTTATTTTTTTATTGATAAATTGCACAGATCTAAGCAAGACAATGTAAGGCTTTATTATAATCTGCATCAGAGTAAGAAAGTTTATGATTTGGTACTTTGGATAAAGATAATATTTCAATACAGGCAAGATGTATTTAACCCCTTCTGTGATAGTTCTTGATTGTTTTTCTTTTCAAGTTTAGTTACATTCATATCTTTACCCTTTTTAAAATGTTAAATACCGACATTATATACCACTAGCATTCATAAGCATTAAGTGAATGTAAAGGGGTTAGTACAAATCCACAAGGCCTGACACTGAAAGGGGTAAAGGCACCGAAGGTATTATGCAATGGATAGATACAATGAATAGAAACATTCACATTTTCTACACTTCTAAAACAAAAATAACAACATGCTTTCGAAAAGCAAAGAGAAGTTACTGAGAACTTTTGGGGTACAAAGATAAGCAGCAGAAATCTTATTACAAAAAAAAATAGTGCTCTCTTTAGAGAAGTTCTACATTCGGAAGGAATATATTGCTCTTAAAGAATGGCAGTTATAACCTCTTTACCTTTAACTAATTGCCATTTTACAGTGCAAATGTTCACTTTATCACATTCTTTCCCCTACAACGCAGCCCACGACCCTTTTTGAGTCAGCTTTCTGGAGACTACCATTGCTAAGCACTTTTTTGGCTTGTGATATGTTTTGCTTGGGAACTGTTTAGCAAAAGAAATTGCATTTCTGTTCAGTAACTTGACAGTTTGACTAGACAGAATGCGATGAAAGCTCTTTTTTTTTTTGGCAGGCAGTTCCCTCTCAAAATCTTTTTGGTACAATGGCAGGAAGCCACTGCAGCAAAGCTTTCCGACAGACGAGGAAAAAGACAGTCCTCGCTGGTGTGAGTAGGTGACTGTCGTCTGAAATAAAACGTATACAAAAATACTCGCTCTCATCGATATGAAGCAAAAAAAAAGCTGCGTATTTCAAATGGTTCAGAAGTTGTTCCAACAGGGCTCTGTTGGTCACTTTGAACGACTTTCGAAATCGGACAGCGAAATACAGCGTGCAAGAGCTGATAACGTTCTAAAATAAATCATATTCGGTAATAAATCTGTACGTCAGTTGCATTACGCATGGCAAGAAGATGACTCCTAAACATCTCCAATCTTAACCGCTAACATTCTTCTGATATGTACTTATAATATTTATAATAAAAACAAGATTATAAACAAGACCTGGGCTATATCGTGCACACTAAAATAACTCAATAATATTTAATAGCTTAAAATATTCAACTGGAAGCTATCATGCTACACTGTATATCCAGGACCAGTGTTATGGAAAAGGGAGGAACCTCATCGAGTAAGGACTATGGGGGTCAGCAACTTTATGAAATTCAATCAGGCAGCTTCAAATCGATTCACACGTTTATTTCAACAAAAAGATTTGAATGACAAACGAGGCATTTTAAAACCAACCCGGTTTCCAGCTTCAGTTTGCTTTTCAGATTTACCTCCTTCATTAAGTACAGAGCGAAACTCTTAGCAATGCACTCTTCATCCTTTAAAGAAGAGAATAATGGATTGAAAAACCCTCAGAAGGCACTAAAGTTAGAAAGTGGGTTAAATGTGCAGAGATTGCACATAGCTGTAACTTTCTTTTTTAAAAAAACTACTAAGAAGATCAATCCACAACGGAGCCTAATAGTCATCTCATGAGATTCTTTCAAACAAGAGATACTGGCTTTAATTATGACGTTATATCAAACGACAGGGACTAAATGTTGATGACACTGCATGCACCACAACAAGAGCTAGAATTGTTCTCTCTCTCTCTCTAAAGTAATGAATAACATGAACCAATTTTAAAAATTCCTCTGTGAAGTCAGAGATGGATATTGCTTTGTTTTTAGACAAACATAAATGTGACATTTTATAAAGGCAAAGGAAAATAAATCAATGTGCATTACAATGTAAGATAACAAAATGCTGCCTCTCATGGTCATGTTCCCTGGGGGGTGGGGAGGGAATTCCTTTTTATTTATTATCCTTGCATTGCAACCTATTTTAGGCAAGAATAGTGTAAAATTCCACTGATAAACCTTCAAAGCTTTTTTTATAAGTCGGTTGCATGGAACTGAAAGCCTGCAACAAGTGTTGAAAGGATTAGCAAGCGAAATACAAAAGATTCAAAAACTGAAAAAATCTACATGAGATCCACAATTGGGCATTATCAGGTCCCTACACTTAATGCAGCAATAAAATATTTTGAAACCGGATAATATAAATCTAAGTGTTCAGACTAATGGCCATTGGTAAGGCAACATAGGTTGTTGGAGAGAGTATGCAGACTGATCACTAATATGAAACTAAATAATCCCATCCCAACTGCTGACTCTTTCATTCATAGAATCATAGAATTATGCAGCACAGAAGGAGGCCATTCAGCCCATCGTGTCTGTGCTGGCTCTTTGAAAAGAGCTATCCAAATCAATCCCACTTCCATGCTCTCTCCCCATAGCCCTGCAAAGTTGTCCTCCCCAAATAATTATCTATCTCTCTCTTAAAAGTTGTTATCGAATCGGCTTCCACCAGCCTTTCAGGCAATGCATTCCAGATCACAACAACTCTCCTAGTTATTTCAGAGGAAAGCCAAATGTTCAAGAGGAGCATTTGCAAACTTGATCTATTAGAGTTTAACTTGATAGTGGAGATGAACAACCATTTATTATCAAAAAATGAAATATGGCGTAAGTGCTATCTGGGAAAGATATTTTATTGTGGCGATTTAGTGCAGTTATATGGCATTATAATGGTGGCAATGAATATTTATGACCTTGTTTAAATCCATTCATGCTGTGCTTTCTTTTTTCGTCATCATTCAAGCTATATCAGGGGGAGCAATGAAATTGGGGATGTCAGCTCTCCCTAAGATCAACTTAGCAGAAAAATGGGTGCGGCAAGAGGAAAGATTTGGAATTAGTATCAGTGTAAAAAGGACTTGAAATCTCTGTCCATAGTTTTCTTTTCCAAAACAAAGTTCTATTTTAATTGAGATTGTCAGGATAATGCAGATGCCGTACTTTGCCATGCTAAAGTGCTGTTATTGGATCTACAGGGTCTGAAGCCATCAAAGAACTATTCCAAGCATTAGTTTTGTAGCATTGAAAAGCCCCTCAGCAAAGGCTGTCACCAAGTTCCTATTCCCTAAGTCCTTGCAAGGAAATCCTGCACTTCCACCATTGGGCAGTGAAATAAGGCCATCATTTAGTGAGCTGCTGTACAGTGCCATCACTCAAGTGGTTGCACTATAATGGCAGCATGCATATGCAGTCACATTTTGTGCTGGACCCAGGTCTCAGTGAATACACCATGCTGTGAGAAAATGAACAGTGAGCGGTGCAGAAGCCATCATTCGCAGCATCAGAGTAAAAAAAATCTAATAATAATATATAATAATATTATTATTATTATTCAAAAAGAAGCTTCGATAATTCAAGACCAGGCAAAGTGTGTGTCAAAGTCTTACGTTTTCACTGATATTTGGTTATTACAATATAATGCATTTCCATTATAAGGAAATATGTTATATATTAAAATAACTAAAAAAAATGTAATATGCACCAGAGTTGTGTTAGGGATTTCAATAAGGACGAACAAAAAGGTTAGTGAAGAAAATAAATTGTACAGATGGACGCAACCAATAGTCTGGGGAATAAATGAAATATTTTGCACTTACAGATTTACCGCTAAATATTCTTCAATGACTTAAAAAATAAACATGTAAATGTACATCAAAAATGTGGATCAGAAAACAATAAACTTGACTTCTATTTAAAAAAATAGATAGATTCAATAGTTACTTTAAAAATCTAGGCAATAATCCTTGATATTATTGAAATATGCTTCTGTTAGCTTTCTGATGTGGTTGTAGTTTCTTCTGAAAAGGACATTATTTATACATAAAATATTTAATTCCAAAAGTATCTTTTTTAAAAAAACAAAGCATTACTAAACTAGACGTGCAACTAGACAGGTGATGTTGACGATTAAATATATCAAACACAATAGGTATTTGGTGAAACAGCATAAATATTAGTTGCCTTGGGTTCGGAGACGTTCGGTATAATGTGAGATGGTTTCACCTGCTATCACGCCAGAGTTATTTCATATATTTGCTAATAGAATGTGCCAGAGAGAAAAAAAACAAAATTATAATACAGTCCAGAATTCTTCTACCACTCCACTGGAAACACAACAACCCAGTTTTTTCCCCTTGTTGCAAAGGATGAAATTCTGCTAAAAATTTCTTACCCCTCATCGCAAACCAATTTTTTTTTAACATTTTTTTTGCTGAAAGCTGAAAGGTCATTTCATCATTTTCTATGCAGGAATCGTGTGACAGATATCCGTGGGGCATTGCCCTGCACGAGAGCTTGTAAATGGAGAACGACGAGACGTTTTGAACAGAAAAGCTCTGCAAGAGTTAACATTTTTTTCTTTCTCTCTCCCCATCCCCTCTCCCTTTCCAGAAACCAGTTTAAAACAAAGTGGTACAGAATGTGCCAGTGTGGTATGCTGGCGCTTTTACAAACCAACCTCCACCACACAGGCATTGTGATTCTGGGCTGTGTAGTTGTCATGGGCGTATGCTGGCACATTCCTATGCGTGACTCTTAAGCCTCACCACAAATTTGACTTCAAGCCCCGGCTTGGGTTGATATAAGCAAATGAATATAAATGCGCCAAGACCCTATCACTGCAATGAAAGGAACTAGGAAGGGTAACAATTTAAAAGTCCATTATGGAGGATTATAGGTGTATTCTTTTTAAAAGCTTCGGAGGGACACACACACACATCCACGCACACTCCCTCACCCCCTTACTTCCTTGACACAATGGGTGTGACCCGATTATAGCAAACACTGACTCATTCTTGAACTAAAAATATACTTTTTTTTGGACCCACTGAAGAGTCTGAATAGAAAACAATAAGGAACAGTTGCTAAGCTGAAGTTCACACAGTGAAAGTTCCCAAGATGATTACTCAGAGCTGTCGACTCAATGCCAACATATTGTTCTGTGCAGCTGAGTCAAAATCTTTCAGCTGACCGATTTTTCGAAACACAGAGTGCCACTCGGATTGTGCTCCAAACTGTGCTGGAAGTGTTCAGAGAGAGATCCTTGGAATTTGTTTGGTCTATGACTGACCTCTCGCTGTGATTCCAGAGAGATCCTTCCTTATAATTTCATTAACTGTGAAAAAAGAACAGAAAGTTTGAGTGAAAATCATGGTATCAGTTGTACAATGAATAATGTAATATGAAATCCACTCTCATGCCAGATGTTTTTTTTTAAAAAAACACAATTTCTTGCAAATACATCCAATATTGGAACTTGAGACAAATGGGCTGAAACCAGTGCTGGCTTAAGCAAGACCAGAAATTAAAATCATTATTCCCAGAGAGCAGTAGACATGTGGAACAGACTCCTAACAAAAACAGCTGATGACGTGCCAATTAACTCCTTCCAAAAAACTTGAGAACTCTACTGGAGAGTATGAGAGGATTGAAGGGCCTTCTTCATCCAAACTAATGTAAACTAAATTAAACTAATGTGATCGTGCAGATTAGGACAGTGGAACAATACACCAACATGAGCACTGCCTTAAGGAAAGGAGGGGATACAACTGGATGGAGGAAGCAAGGGATTGAGTGAGGGAACACACATGGATTGAATGGCAAAATGGAATGAGAAGCATACATTTATCTGTCCTTTTTGCTTTGGTCCTTGGTGAGGTCTTTGAGCCACAATGTGGGCTCAACCCACAATATGCGCTCGCAACACAAAATTCATTGCTCAGGTCAGGAGTTGCTGGGAATTAAGCACGTTACAGACCACACTGAAAAATAACCTCGGGCTCAAAAATCAACCCCAAAAAAACATGTGTACTTGTAACCCAGCTGCAGTGACTGTCAGCAAGTGCTTTGATCCAGATTCAGGAGGACCGACTTTGAATTAACATTATTCTAAACCCATCAAACATTAGAGATAGTCAGTGAGCATCGAATCTGTGGCAGATCTCCGATATCCACAAGGAGGTGGTGAGGCTTATTTTTCCATTTGACTGAATGGAAGCTACAGGATGTTTTTCTACAACTTCCTGCCTCTCGTGTTAAACAAGGCGATGATCGCTGTGAGTAAATGGAAAGTTTGTTGCCTCCTCATTCTATTAATAACTCGAAGGTGAAAAGTGTGGGTTGTAGTCCTTTGCTGCGTTATTTCCTCACCTATAGAAGAATGGGGGCGCTCACACATAATAACCATAGAAAGATTACTGGTGCATTAACACTTTAATGCTGCTGATGCCACTTTTTTCCCATGGACAAAATCTTGGCTGTTTTTGCAAAATCATCAACAGTCGAATGTGCATTACATACCCTCAAAAGATTTTTTGTGTGTATAAAAAAAAGCTTTGCAGGAGTTGCGTGGAAAACAACATTGCTGTGTACTCAAGAAAGTGTGTGTGTGTGTTTGAACGAGCACCAGGTTAGTGTCAGAGAGGCAGTGCTTAATGTATTAAAAGGAGCTGCTTGCCAAGGTCAGGCAGTTAGGCCTAGAAATTCTACTGCTAAACCCAACAAAAAATAAACCGTAGATGGTTTGTTGTCAGTTCATTGGAAAGTTATTGGGCCAGGCTCGGTTTCTGGCAAGGCCAATGATGGTCTTTCCAAACACTGTGATATAATATTGCTTCGCTGGCTGCGGAGAAAGGTTTGTGTTAAAGAGGATGCTATTTCTGTAGCAGAGTCAACTTTTGCAATGTATTTTCCAAGTCATTTCTTAGTTTCAGGTGCTTTTTCCCCCCATTGCCTCCAATTCTCTCCTCTTCTCTGGAAGGGGATGATTGATTCTTGGGTTTTACCCAAGCATTGGCTGACATCAGCTGCCCTCACCCAAGTGGCCATCCTTCATATTTGAGCCCAGTCAGTGAACAGTCTTGACAGACTATTCAATTGTGAAGGGGAAGATTTTTTTTATAGCAACATCTTATAACACCATCTGATCGTTTAAGTATATGAGGAACAAGGCTTGCTCCTGGCATGTCATTTGAACACAGGGGTTCCAGAAGCCAAAGCGCACGGCTCATACGATTGCTAATTACATGAGCTTTACTTTGCACAACACACTATCATGTCCTGAGATGATGTTGTAGAAATACAGTAGAGATAAAGTTGATCTTAACAATGTACAGCTTTCCATTCTCATCCAGGCATCGGCAGCCAGGTCAATTGAAGGATCAAATCACTGGACAAGTAATCTATCAGTCGTCTCTGCTCAAATCCCCATTGCAGAGCACAGAAAACAACTTTATCTTCATAGTAAAATGTTATCCTGATCCCCTTCTGCCAATTGAGTTTTTGTGCTAAATCGCTGGTCTCCAACAAGTATCAAATGGATTGTAGACGCACAAATACGACTGATGCATTATCCACATTACTCAGACAGAAGTAAAGGCCAATCAATGCAGGTGTGCAAATCATAAGCAAAAAACAAAAACAAATGAAATACTGCAAACTATTTCAGAGCCCTGACATTACAACGTTACTTCTGATGTACACAATTTAAAACATTACATAATGCCCAAAGTTACCATCCTCACAAAAGTCTTCTGCTGAAGTAAAACTTTCACTGTGTCTCACTGTGAACTAACTTCTTGGGCACATTTGGTTTCACATGTTTGCTCTTTCTATCACGGTAAGATTTCAATCTTTAGTATGGTTTTGCAATAGATACACAAACACAATCATATCACTGAGTACAACATTGCGTTAAGATCAGTTTACTGATCCACGACTGCCCCCATTATAATATAAATTCAACACAGTGAGCTTTCAGATGCACATCTTCAATAAGAAACATGTGCATTGCCTACACTGGAAGAATCTGCCTTGAGGATAAGAATTCTGCTTAGATGCAGATTCTTGATGGAATTTAAATCCCAAAATCTTTCTATTATGCTGCCATTACGTAAAGGGGTCACTGAGTGCCAAGAAGCACAGGAGATCAGTGAAGTTGATTGCCAGTGTTGGAGCGATGACCCCATGATAAACAACTAGATAAGCTTTTCAGCCTCAAAAGAGAGGTCTCAGATGGGACCTTATAAAAGTTTCATAAGATACTTAAGAGAAACGAAAAAGTAAACCTGGAACAACACTCAGATGGGTCAAGGGGAGACTTCATTGTTGAGAAGGCCACATTTTGAACAAAAAGTAATTATTTACAGCTCAGTAATCAACTGCATTACTAGGACAGATGGTGGAGGCCAGGGTACTAGACTCATTGTAATCAGTTGACAGATAATGTTGGTATTGTGGAAGGGTGAGCTAAAATCGGTTAAAGCGTGTTCTTCAAACAAATCTCTTGTGATAACTGCTAGAAGCATGTTGTTTTGGAGGAATGGGAAACTGTCATGTAGTATCTACAATCATCTTCTCAACAAATCTTTTCAGCCCACCACACACAGTAAAAGCACCGATGGCAGTGTCAGATTATCGCACTTGTGCTCTTTCGCTACAAATCATCAGTTACATTGAGGTGCAAAACTCTACAAGGCTCATTTCAGCTGCACTTTCCTGACAAAGGTGTATGATATCCTGGGCGCATTAAGCAGAAGATTGTATGACAGGGATGAATATTCTCAGAGAAGTGTTCCTTTCACCGCATTGATTAAAAAAGTTATATTTCTCAAATGTTGACAATCGGATTTCTACACACATCATCATCGCACAATAAGGATTCATTGAAATGAATAGTATTTACAAAAAATAGTGTGTGTGTGTATGGGGTGGGTGGGTGGGGGGGAGGGTCCGGGACAGAAATGAGGAGTTAGAAAGAGGCCCTGAAAATAAAATTCAAAGTAATATCTGTAGAAATACCAGTGATAAATTTAGTGTTACTTCCCGTTTGAGACTTATCCATTTCCTGAATAAGAAAATGATGCAGAATCGGGGAAATGTATTATCAAGGCTGCTCAGTATCAAACAGTTTAGCCCTCTGCGCTATTTCAACAAACACGTTACTGAGAATGTTTCATCAGTTCGTTTAAATTGTACAATAATGCTGAAAGTTAAAAACTTCAAAGCAAGACATCCTGTGTGCTGTTGGTTGTGGAAAGGATTCTTATAGCTCATCAATCCCTTATCTGATCCAAATGGTATCTTGCTGCCTACACTAATACACTCAGTATAGATTAGTGTCAAATGATGTGCAAGTAAGTGCACTTCAAAATAAGACTTTAAAGACTTTTCCTTTGGTCTAACGGCCGATGACTTCTCTAACTTTTATGAACACTGGTTTAAATTTCGGAACTTTGCACTTCTGCAGTAGAAGATTCTCAGTGCATCTCCCTCTTTGGGATTCTCACTGAGCAATCACACTAAAACAATCTTCTTCTACCGAAATCCATGGCGGAAGTCACTTCAGACTTCATTAGATTTTCTCTGACTCTCACTTTCTGGTGATGATGGCTCTCGAGCCATATGATGAACAGAATATGTAAAGGATTTGGGCTGGAATACTGTGAACGTTACAGATTAATATGGTACAGCTTACGTACAAGTTCCCTGACCTGCTCCTCACCTGTATTCAAATGAGGATAAGACTCAAGAACATTGGACCTGATTATCAAAATATACTTAGGAATTCACAGCAGGGAAAGCTTATCTATGCAATGTTGATTCTTTACAAAAATCTGCATGACTCCTATCTTAACACATTCCTACAAAAAAAATCTCTTCAAATATTATGTAAATGACTCATAGCCCTGAGCTTTGCTCATCACAAGTCCCCTGCAAATCTATCGACTGGGGTATTGAGCTTTTAAGGGAAAAAAAACTTGTGTCCATGATCTTTACTGAATCATTGTTTTTCAAATTGGATGAAACAGGATAAACATTGTAATGTCTTGTGATGTTACTTGATGCCTCTGTAGGTAATATGTTTCTGATCACAGTGCCTTTCAAGGCAGAGAAATGTTTCAAAGAGTTTCACATTGCTTATCAGGAGTTTCAGCTGAGAGGTGTGTGGTGGGGGGTGAAGAGTGGATAACAGCAAAGTCAAGGAGGTTGGTGTTAAAGTGGGTTTTGAAGGCAGGGAGGGAGGGGTAGGTGGAGGGCCTCCAGGATGGGTTTCCCAAGAGTAACACTGAAGGGGAAACAGTAGCTTTTGTACAGTCAGAGAAGAGGAATTTGATC